TTTTAATGAGGAATGTTAGCAGCAGCAGCCTTAGATAAATGAAGACATTAACAAAAGTCTTATCACTCATCATTAATATTTCATTAATTTAAAAAAGTATTATCAAGACTTCTTTTTTTGAAGATTTCTTCTCTTGCTTCATCAAAATTATAATTTGATTACACAGGTGTGTGTGTGGAATTTTTCATAATTGTAGATTGAACAAAAGGCTATTATGCATATATAAAGGTCACTGAATAAGAATTAGTTCAATGAGAGTGGCCAAAGTCTTAGAATAAAGACTGATTCTTTTCCAATGACACATTGAGAAAACACGCTAAGGTTCACCAATTTCATTTTGCCTTTTGTTTCTTTCTCATGCTTCATGCTGTATCATGAAGAATTTATTCAATGATTTTTTAAAAAGTAATACTATAAACACACTCCCAGGAACATTATAAATCATATCTTACTGTCCTGAGATACTTAACTAAATTCAGAGGCATTCCTGTTTTCAAGTAAATGTTGACTCTTGTCTTGTTTAAAAATGTATCCAGGATTAGCACTATAAATTAGTTTTTGCCTTTTGTCATTAAATAAACACACCAGCTTTCAATGGGAAATTATAAATTGATTGTAACTAAATACTTAGACACTTTAAAAGGAGATTTTTTAAAAATGCGTATTTCCTATGGATTTCTGTCAATTCACTAAAACTACACTATCAATACATTGCCAACTGTGAAGCAACACTTTGTACACAAATTGAGAAGGCAAACTAAATGTATTTAAAAATAAAACTAAATACTTTTTGTTTTCTGTGATTAACAAGTGAAATCTCCTTCCAAATTTACTATGCTTACAATAGCCATACAAATTTTCCTTTAGAGATTGGCAACCTGAAGCAGATGTAAGTGATTTTTTTGTTACTTCACCTTAAGTTAGCTTGAGGGATAACACATTATTACTCCTGAGAAGAGAATTCTGAAGCACGTTAATTCCCAACAGCTACCGGGGCATGGTGGGATACCAGAGTATGGCTCCATCAATGAAAAAATGTCCCAGGAAAATACAAACACCAGCGGAGAGAGATTTTTTTTTAATATAACTTTAAAAAATCATCTTCTTAAGCTTCCTGATCCTCCTATATCATCATCCCAGTGACATGACCAGTTGTCATTTTACTTTCTGTCTACGTAACCTCATGCACAGCTAGGAAATAATGATTTAGGACTTGAAATTCAAAACATAATGGTGTTCCTTTTTTTTTCATTCCTCATTTTACTCAACACCCCTGCAGAGTTGATGCAAGTCCTGAGCTCCCTTTGAAGTCAGCTTGCATCATCTTTGATGGAGTATAAAGCAATAGGAGATACTGGCTGCAGATTTGAGCATCTCAGTTCTCATCTCAGACTGTGTCCATGCATTTGTCATTAAACACATGGTGCGAGTAAATCCTTGAAAGAATTGCCAAGCAGTAAAATTGGCAGGTTTGGTCACTTATTTATACTGTAAAAGAATAGCAAAATAAAATATTAACCACTTTTAAAGCAATTTATTCTATATTCCGCTTTGGTTATTCTGATTTGTGTTTGATTTTGTAGCATATTCTTGCTATTTGGTCGACTATTTCTAACAGCTTTGAAGCTTTATGAAAAATCATGTTAAACAGACATATTTAAACACCAGACACATCTGAGAACTTAATGAATGGGAACCTTCTTTGCTTACATGACAGCAATATAAATCAGTGCCTAGATAAGCACTGGTAGTGTTGGCTTTTTAATATATGTCTTTTACTCTTGCCAATATTTTTAGTCACTGATGATTAGACAAATTTGGAGATAAAGGAAGAAGAGTAAAGCATCTGGTTGTGAAATCTGTCTGCATTTGTAGCAGTTACCACTACTGATTACCAGTCTGCATATCTCACCTTCTATGAGGCACATGGGAAATTTCCATTCTCTGTCACCTTGATGTTGTATTTTAATCATGTGACATACTTTGACCAATAAAATATGAGCAGAGGGACTGCTTGAGGCATTTAGTTATTTGAACTCTTTTCCTGTTTTTCTTCTGCAGGGGGTTCATGAAGGCATGTGTGTAATAAAATGAAAGCAAGCTGAAACCCAGAGAGCTTATGTGGGACCCAGCTGCTGTTCAGGGTGACCAAGGATGCCACACTGAACCAGTGCAAAAAATTTAGCGTTTTACTAACGTCTTAAGATTGCTTATTATCATAACACAAATTAGTCTATCTTGATTAATGTATATAAATATTTTATACATATATATTATACATAGTGTTTATATACACAAATTTTAAAAAATAAGATATAACAAGAAAACAATGACACATATCCCATATTTTAAGATTTCCACAAAACTCAGCGGGATTATATATTGGTCTGGCATGTCTTTAAAGTTTCTTAAGCTCTCATTTTCTAATCATTAAGATAATCATACTAAATTCTATTGCCTACACCAGTGATGGCACTTCTATGACACATGCACCATAGTGGGCTGTTTGTATCATTGTAAGCTCTAAAAGATTCACCATCACTGGCCTAAAGTTACTTTTTAAAATTGTATTTTTTATAACCACAAAGAAAAAATTTTGATTGTTGGGGAGAACCAATGTCGAAGGAGAGAGATTAGCAGGCTAAATTTCATAGGAATTTTGAAGAGTTTAGATTTATTTTAGAGAATGATCTGGAGGACTAGATCATGGGTTAAAAGGAGGCCTGGAATACAGGCAAGTATTGTGGCAGAAAATGTGTGTGGATAATTCTTTCCTGTGTTGCCTCTCCTCTATATATCACAGCAAGAGATTACATTCCAGTATGTTCTACAACATTTTCATTAAAAATACAATCCTAAGAGAAAAGTCCTGGCTACCAGAAATATAAGATTCTCAAAGGGTTTAGCAAAACTCTATGCTAAATCGCAGGCAGACACGCTAGTTTCCTTTGAATCAGTGACTTAAATCTACACTCTTATTTTTCCATCTAATTTTCAGTAGGTCACTGTCAAGTCAAAATTTAATTTTATGTGGTTGAAGTGGTTGAGCCAAAATGAAATTGCATGCTGTAGGGGGAAAAAATTTAACCTACTTTTAATGGCCCCTTTGAAAGAGACTTTGAAGACATGACTTATTCTCATAGTATGTTGACTATCTGAAGAATGAATTATTATATCCTTGTCAAATTTTAAATATCATGCTGTTAAAAATATTAGTCACACAGGGGGCTGTTTGACAGTAATGTCACAGAAAAGCTCTGGTCTCTATGAGTCTGCAACTTAATATCATGACTCCATGGAGCTCTGCCTCCCAAGGCAACCACAGAGGGGTGGGGGTGGAAAAGTGCTTGAGCTGCCTTGGAACACTGGCCGGGCTCTGCTGGCTGCAGTGGACTTGCTGTTCTAGTCGGCTGAGGAGGCTTGGTGCCTTTCTGCCTGCCGTCCTCTCCCGACAGAGCTTTAGAGAGTCTAAAAGAAATGAAAAAGCTATCATTTCAAGTGTGGAAGAGTTTTTTTTCTTTTTTTTTTTTTTAATACATCCAAGAAATGTGAGTTGAGATCTAGACTAGAGGTTGCAAAGAAAATGATCCAAAGAATTTCTTTTAAAAGACAGGCTTTTTTTTTTTTTTTTTTTTTTTTTTTTTAAGCCTGAAAAATAAGATTAGAAACTAGCTTGGATGAGCCCAACTGTGATTAAAAAAAATAAGCCTTTTATAGTTAAGTCAAGATTTTTTTCTCCTCTTTTTGTTCTTTGACTTTTTCTTGCAGGGAAAGGGGCAATCTTTACCTAATCAGAGCAAAGCAAGCGTCACTGAGGTAGCAGAAGCATCATGTAGGTGAAGGTCAGGCCAATTTTCACCCAAGTAATGCTGTTTTATCACTCATCTAACAAAGATTGGGGCCTTTCTTTTCTTGATTCTTTTGTCCCTATCCCTATTACTTTCACAGATCTGAAAAAAAAAAAAAAAAAACCAGAGATTCTTCATCCAAAAGTTCCATTTAGAGCACTTATTTCAAATCTTCCAAATTTGATGTTTCAATGTTACAGCAACTTAAGGGTAATACAAAAACCCATATGTTTAGGCAGGAAGGCAAAGTTAACTGAAAGCAGAATTAACAGAGGACACAGTGTTTGCTTTCATTGGAACTTGGCCATTCATTAAGGGCTGGACTTAGTGTCAGCCCTATTAATCCAGCCACCTTTTAGTTTCAAGGCTTCTGTCTTCTGTATGTCTACAAAACATGAGCGTTGTTGATGAAACATTGAGTTACAAATTGGGTGATGTTACACTTGGCAACTTGGATAAGGGCAGGGTGAGAAGCCAAGACTATAAAACAAATAACCTAGCAGTGTTTGGTGTCCAAAATAAATGTATTATGCAGTTGCCTCGGAGTTGCTCCAATGCAGTGACACTTCAGGTCACATTATGCCAGGCCTGGTAGCTCTTGTGAGTAAACTTGGTGTTTTTAAAATGGGAGATAACAACATGAGGAAGTTTTAAAACATCATCTTGCCAATGTGAAATGAATAGGTTTTTAAAGTCACTTCATTTTTAAAGTGTAGCATTTTAATCTCTGCACTATGGTACTCATTCCTTATCCTGGCATCTGTGATTGTTTTCCCCATAAGCACATAATTCCAAAATATTTTCCTGTCTTTTACCTTGCTCTTTCTCATTGGTCTTTGCTTGCAAGTTATTTCTGCCTCCTTTTCTCCTCTCACCCCTCAACCCCAACAAAAATCCAGGCTGGGGAATGGGTGCTTCCAGATTGAGGAATTATTCTGGAAACTTTCCCCTTTTAAGTGATTTATTTATTTATTTATTTAACCAGGAATCAAACTCAGGACCTCGGGCTTGTCAGGCAAGCAACCATGTCATTGAGCTATATTCCCAGCTCCTAAATTATTTTTTAAACTTTTTAATTTTTCTTTCTCTCTCTCTCTCTCTCTCTCTCTCTCTCTCTCTCTCTCTCTCTCTCTCTCTTTTTTTTTGAAACAGGATCTCGCTATTGGTGCAGGCTGACCTTGAACTTATGTAGCCCAAGCTGGCCTCAAACTTGCAGCGATCCTTTTGTCTCAAGAAAGTCCTGAGGTGAGTACCACCACCACACTTGACAAACTGATTTAGACTCTTAAAATTAAACACTCCATAGCTTTTTGGTCATATTGAAAATCTCAGTATTTAGCACCACCCTAATAAATTTCCAAACATCCACAACTGAGTTCTCCAGAGTTGAGTCAGTACTACCTCTTACATTCCTGAAAATGTGCACAGACTTGACTTATTCTTTGTTACTTTTCTAGAAAGGAAAACATTGTATAACTCAATGATTTTATTGCTAGAATAATAAAAATATGAAGAACCCTCTCCTTCGGAAAGGGACATTCTCTTTTATCATTACATCTCTATTAATACGTACACAGAATTCCAATATTAAGGAAGAAAATGGAGTGAAGACAAGTTAGTGCACAGCCTTGGAGAAAGCTAACACTGCCCTTGCCAAGGAGCTGTATGCAGTCCATCAGCTCATTCCCTAATCCTTCCCACAGTCTCTCAGCACAGCCTTTTCCCGTGCATGAGGCCAGCCAGCACTCAGCCATGCCCTGACCACCTGATGCTCTGTAGTCCACCTAACCCTCTTGACTGGCCTCTATGACTTTATCTTCTCCCCTCATAGTTGAAATAAAATGAATACAGAATTGCCATCTTTAAATTCAACTTTGGATACTCTCTCAAGACAGGAAAGTCATGTTTACTTATTTAAGAATCAGGACAGGAAGGGCTAGGAGAACTCACTCAAGGATTACATAACCATCTGCAGCCAGGATAGGATCTTCTTTCTGCAGTCTGCAGCTGTGTAAATCATTTGTATTTTACTTATTTCGATTCTTTAGTCCCTTTTGACATTGTGTATTCATCTCTAGAAATGAAACTATGAATTAGGGATGCAATGTAGGGAGGAGGGCTCATGTGCACACACAAATAAAAAGTTGTAGGGAAGTGTAGTTTGCCTTAAATTAAAACTTTAAAAGCTCTTATCCATCTATTTTAAACACAGAGAGGATTAACATTTGCATTTAATTGTAAGCATGTTGTTTTCATAAGAAAAGATCCAGAATTATTTGGTGGCCTTTAAATAGCAAATTGTCTTGAAAGAAAATATGACCAATTTGTCCTATATTTTGTAATATACATTCTCATACTCATTTCATATCATCAGACTTTTATTCTGCATTTGTTTCTCATTCTACAGGGTTCCATTTATCTTTAAGTGGAATAATTTCAAACCACACTACAGTGGATTATTGTTATTATTATTGCTGTTATTTCATTGTCCAATAACTTCCTACTCTATCACACATACACCTAAAATAAAAATGTTTACTTGGCAGCTTTTTATTTGACTCACAGCCCAGATTTCCAAAATCAGGAAGGTACAATTCAGTGTCTGGTGCAGAGAGCAATAGAACATCCTTTTATCCGCTTAACTGATGTCTGTATGCTCAGTTAACCAGCCCTTGTGTGTTAAGGGTTGTAGGCATTTAAACTTGGTAAATGCTCTATGACAGCACTGCTATTGTGGAGTCAATTCATTTCCTTGAGCAGAAGAAGATCACTTCACAATTACTTCATGGCAGTCTATACAAGCCCTCTTAGCTGGTCATTAATTAAGCAATAAGACATGACAGGCAATATATTTCTGGGCCATTTAACATATCTCTTGAGGGATTTTGAAAGCGAGAGGCTAAAGGTCAAGTGACTTTAACCATTTGAGAAGTTCACAGCCAGGAAATTGTGATACTACAAAAAAATTGCATGTAAATTATTGAAACTAAGACAAACAATAATTTTAATGCATCAAGCCAAACAATTTATTAAGCAAAAATATTTTTAATGAAAGTATGAAGTGCCATACATTGTACTATAGCTTATACCCATGAAATGTGCTCTCCTCTCATAATTACAGTTGAAGCATGTAAAGCTCACTTGTTTTATGGCCACAGTGTTTGTGCTTTTGAATATGATATCACATATTTATTGGAAAATAAATACTTGAGCTCACTAGACTAAATGCATTGTTCTGTCCTACCCAAAATGTTGCTTCTCTTGGTGGCAGCAAAGATTATTTTAGAACATGGTGCTCTCAGGGTTACTAGGAAATCTTACCACTTCTCTAGATCTCATGACTCTTCTCTTAGTTACTTTTCTCTCTTGCTGAGACAAACACCCAAAACCTACAATTAAAGGAGGGAATGTTTGTTTAGCTCACAGTTTGTAGAGGTTTGAGTCCATAACTGGATGACCCTCAGGGTCATGGCAGAGTGCTATGGCAGAGGGGCAACTATTCATGGAAGTGGAAGACAGAAAAAGCAACAAGAGCAAAAGGGTAAATCTCTTTCTGCACCTTTAATCTTATCCATACTGCTGGGATTAGGGCAGTGCCAATCCAATCAGTGGACTGATTCAGCAATCACCCAGCCTTAATCTGAATACCTTTAATCCTAGTATTGCACTATAAATGAGTCACACATTCTAGATTGCTTCCTCTAAAAAAAAAACCCAGCTAAAAGTGCATGTGACCTCTGGAGAGATCTAGAAACAAATCATAACATTTTGGTCCTGGCCCCCAAAGATTCTCATACTTCATTTATGCAAAAATCATTTAGCTCATCTCTAAGAGTTGCCAAAGTCCTAATAGTTTTAGCATTGCTGAAAAATCCAAGTCCAAAATCCCCTATAAGATTCAAAGCACTCTTGACTGTGAGCACCTATTCAAATAAGTGCTAAGAAAGTTAAGCAATTACAACATGCAGTAGTGTAAGATAGACATTTCCATTTCAAAAGTTACAAACAAAGGAATACAAAGGAACAGAACCAAAGCAAATTTAAAATCCAGCAGGACAAACATTAAGTCCTATAGTTCCATATACAGTATCCAAGGCAATCTTTGGCAAGATGTGAACTACGAAGGGTTTGGGTTACTCTGCCATTAATAGCACTTCTGGTAGTTATAGCTTCCGTGGCTTCTCTTTTTAGTTTTCTCTGTTCCTTCTTTGCAGTTTTCTCAGAAGACCCACATTCCTGGTATCTTCAATCTTCTAGAACCTCCCTGCACCTTTGACTTCACACTCTAACCTTCACACACTGCCCTCCAAGGGCACACCAATGACCTCCCAGGCCTTTTTATGAAATCTGAATGGAAACTTTCCCAGTACCACAACTCTTCCATTGTGCATGGACCTAAAACCAGCACTGTGTGGATGATGCCAAGATCTGCTGTCAGCAGGAGCAATAGCCAGGGCTTCTTTCTCTCTTGGTTGTAGAGGTGTAGTGCCTTGGTCCCTGAGAACTATGAATCCAATTTTGAGGAACAAATTTTCTATGATGCCTGTCATTCTAGAACATGCTGTGCTGCAGCTTTATTCTCAAAGTAGAAGTCTTTTACTTTTTTCAATTTTGAGGCTGTCATGGATGGAATCCTGTTGCTTCTTACGATACCTTTCAACCGTCTTTTCTATTCTCCTGTTTATTCTCAGCAATCAAAATCTCCTCTCCTTTATCTTTGCAGTACATAGCTTTACTGGAGTTTCTATTCTAGTGAAACTCAAAACATTTTAAGTCAATCTTATGGCCTCTTTGCCCTTGATTTTAAACACAGATCTGGCTAAAAGTCAGCAACAGTGCCATATCATGGCCTCAATATTAGGCTGTCTTAAATTTTCTTCTCCCAGATTAGTGTGCTGCTCTTAATTTCAGTCTCTTGCAAAGTTTGCAGGTATGATAAAAATGGAGACAAGCTTTCTCCCAAGCCATAACACACATAGTCTGGAATCCAACAACCAATGCAGTCCTCTTCCTGGCAGAAACACAAGCCCAGACTTCAGAGGCAGGATTTCTATCTGCCTTCTGGTCTGAGATCTGACTAGCTCCTCCTATACAGAACAGTTTAGAGTTCTAGTTATACTTTTTAGCCTGCATCTCTATATCTTTCCAAACTCTTCCCACGAGCCAGTACCAAAGGCTCCTAAACTACATGGTCAGTTATAGTCACAGCAAAAACCCTGCTTTTGGTACCAAATTCTGTCTTAGTTATGTTTCTCTCCTTGATGGGACAAAAATAGCTAGTACATGTAAGAAAGAAGGGAAGGTTTGTTTAGCTCACAGTTTGTAGAGATTTCAGTCCAGAATTAGATGGCTATTAGCCAGAATGGCATGACAGAGGAGCTACTGTTCATGACAGCAGAAGATAGGAAAAGCAACAAGACCAAACGGGATAATCCACTTTCTGCCCTTTTCATCTTATCCAGACTACTGGAATTAGGGCAGAGCCAACACAACCAGTGGACTGATCTTTAATTCCAGTATTGCACTATGAATCAATCACACGCTCTAGATTCAGCTGCTTCGGACAATCTCAAACTAAAAGTGCATAAGGCTTTGAGTTGACATCTAGACACAAAGTGAAATAACTCCTTTTAGAGAGTTTTGCAAAAGTTAACGACATTCTTTATTAAGTAGATAATTACTTTTATAAATAACAGAATAAATGGCTAGAGGGGATAGCTCACTGGTAGAAGGCTTGCTTAGTGTTCATGAGGCCTTAGGTTTGATCCTCTGTATGATACATTTGAAAATACAAAAAGAGAATAAGTATAACAAAAATAGTAGGCACATTAGACAAACTACTGAAAAGAAACTTTTGACTGAGGAATATATATATAATCTGCCCTACCATGCTGAGATTCTTTGACTATCACTTTTTTCCCATTTATGCACCTTCCTCCATCTCCCCTAACCCAGATTCTCATTGTTCATTCCTTCCTCTTAAACTACTTCCTTATGCTGTGTGTGTATGTATACTCTCCATTAACTTCCTATTACAGATTATAATTGGTTCTATTAGAGTTAATTAGAAAAATGTTCCTAAGTTATTTCTGACAGGATGATTCAACCCCCAAAATTTACCTGTGCTTCTTTTTTCCTATTCTATTTATGCTCACCTTTTTCTAGTCCTTGTTTTTATTGTAGATAGCCTGGCAAAAGATAATAAATTTAATTCCATAGCCTGCAAGCAAATCATGACATTAAAA